AGGGGAGAGATTTGGATGGTTTGACTCCAACATCCTCTTCTCTGAGGCCGCTCTTCAGGGGCCCTAGAGACACATGACCTGGCCAAACGAAGGCCTGCTAGTAACTCCCTGGACAAGGCAACACTGTCCTCCGTCCCATCACATTCGGCAGGAGCCAGGGGCTCCCATCCGTGAGCTGGGCTTTGCTGGGACAGGGGTAGGAGGGAAAAGGTTGACGCGCAGAACGAGGGACCAGGGCATGACCGATGATGTCACTTGTGAACCTGGACCTGGCTGCTCAGAGGGGGATGCTAGCATCTAGAGGATTCTCTTGGCCCACACTCCTTCTCCTAAGACCTTCTGAGGTTAAGCAGGCGTTACAGCTGCTCAGGGTACTCTGTTCTTGGACTGCTGAGCCCCAGAGCTGGCCTTGGGAACAAGGAAAGCACTGAGCACCCTGACATCTCACGTAACAAGCCACACCCGGGAACAAGGAAGCCCAGTCCCTGTAAGCCAGCGCCTTCCTTACCTACAAGCCCCACCTCTGGTCACCTCCAGACAAAAGCCAGGAAATCACTCCCAAGGACCTCAAAGCAGCAAAAGGAGTTGCAAAGTCCTGTGTTATAGCTGGTGGACTTTTCTTATAGCCTATTGACTTGTATTCTACACACAACTCTAATGTATTTTGTGCTGTTTTTCCAGCTGATGGCAGTTTAGAAACATATCGAGAACCAGAGAAGCGCAGTGAGGCTGGCATATGACTGAAATGGCATAGAGCTAGGAAATGTACAGAAAGCAAGCAGAAGAGCTCAAAGAATAAAATCTTCCTGTTACTAGGAAAGCAGCCTTGGCTCCCTCAGCCCTCACCTGCCCTCTGGACAGATACTGGACCGACCCTGGGAGGAGGTGGGGCCTTAATCTCCTGAGGATGTTTATGGTCTGGGAAGCTGCATCCCTTCTTTTTTTCTTCCTTCTCCTCGTCGTTACATAAAGAAACTAAGACAGCTTATGAAATGACACACAATAAAACAAGAGTTTAAAAACGTCATAACCAGGAATCATGCCTTCAGGCTGGAAGGTCACAATCCAGAGACCTGCACAGCTCTTTATCTCTAGTGCTATTTGGGGCAGGGGTCCCTCCAAACTGCCCGGGCTTTAGGTGCAACGTTAACAGCTGCACCTCACAAGGAAGGGGGCTGGGGTACATGTGAGAGGGGGGATGGTAAGTGGAAACTGGAGGCCCATCTATTCTCAGGAAGTGCTGCTGAAGATCTAGCAGCTTGTCATTGGTTTCCTCCGCTACACTTTCCAGGCCCTCTGAGCTAAAGAGACCTCCCCCGCCATCCACACCTACCCCCGGCCCAGAGGACTCCAAGGGGCAGGCAGCCGGGGCTCGCCAGAAGGGGGTGACCTTTGTCTTGAGAAGGAGCAGCCTAGGGCTGGGGTCTTACCCTCAGCCCAGTCCTCCCCTGTCTGTCACTCCAGTTGGTAAGCGGCGACTCCACCTCCCAGGCCCTCTTCAGGGTTCCTCTTCATACGTCTTATAACTAGACCAACCCCTGGCCCCCCCAGAACAGAGAGCTCCCCCAGTCTCCATCAGAGCCAACTTCCTCGCAGAAGCTGTGCCAAGGCCCAACGCAAGGGACCCAAGACACCCAAGAAACCAATTACTGCACCTCACAGATGGGAAAACAGAGGCCTAGAGATGGAAGTGACTAGCCCGAGGTCATCATGGCTGACTGAGGACCAGAGGCCAGGCCTTCAGACTCCCAGAGCACTGTGGCTCTTCTAGAACTCATGGAGAAGCCTCCTCCAGCTGGTTTTCAGGCAGCAGGAGGGTCCCTAGGCCCTCTTCTGCATTTCTTTTGTTCTTCTAGGCCTCCCCATGTAAACACTGCTGGTCTGTGAAGGGCTGGCAAGGGGAGAGAAGCTAGGGTTAAGGTAGGGATTTTATTTAATCCTCTGAGCTGGCTTAAACTGATGCCATGGTGGTTAGGGCAGGAGGGACACCCAGGAGGGTTTGGTGGGGGATGGAAAGGGGAGGGCATTAGCGAATAAAATCACTAGATACTAATAGGCTAGGCTTGTCAATGAGTTTATCCAACAAGTACCCACCTTTTGAGACTCTCCACCTCAGGGCCTGAGCCTCCAAGCAGCGACCCCCTTTCGTGGGAATAACCCAATCTCCCTGTACTCAACAGTGCAGAGCGAGGCAAAGATCACAGGCCATAGGTTGCGATAGATCTGAGGGCAAACCCCAGCTCTGCTACTTCCTTGCTGTGTGACCTTAAGCAAGTCCCTTTATCTCTCTGAGCCTTGGCTTCTTCCTCTTTTAAGGGGGCTGAACACACCTTTCTTGCAGGCCTCCTGGGAAGGAAGCCTGCCTGAGCTCATGTACACATAGAGAGGCAGGGGAGGCACTGAGTCCAACCTCAGCGCTATTATTACAAATCTCATATGCTTTAGCTCTCATCCAGACCCATCCATTACTCTTCTGCCTCGACCTGCTTGCGTCTTTGACATTAATAACCTTAATGATAATAATCCTTCCCAGCCAAACAGCATTTGCCTCATTTCAAAACACAAAGCATCCTACCCACTGTGGGCCACAGCAGCCCTGCCAGGAGTACTCAGAACTGAGGCAGACTCTCAGCCCCCAGGCACATTTCCCCACAACGTTTCTAAGTCCCAATTTTGGCACTGATCCCAAAGACCCTGAACAGACAAGCTGTCTTATGGCAGGCAGATCTCCTGGGGGCACTGGTAGCCCCTGGCTTATCAGAAGGAGCCAGAAGCACCCCTCCCATCACCCCCACAGCTGACCGTCCATCTGGTCCACTGCTCTGACCACAAGTAAGCTGCCCTCTCCACGCTGGCCTCCAACTCTCCAATGCTGAGAGCCAGGTGGGCAGCTGCTGGAATCCGGCCTTGGGTGCACGGATTGCCAAACCTAAGGCCAAGGCCCGGCTGTGAGCTCCTTACCCTGACAGAGCCCTCTGAAAAGTGTGGGTTCACACCTTTGATCTTCTTACTGGTTCTTCAACTGTCTGTCACCATCCCCAGGATCCATAGTATCATCTTCATATTCCACAAGAGGAAACTGAGGCCCAAGGCAGAAGGGCCCAGCCAAGGTCATCCGTGGGGTTTGGGGTAGGGCTGGGGAGTGAACTCAGGTCCCGCAACTACCTTGGCCTGTTTTCCATAACCGGGCGGCCCCTAAAGTCTCTCCAATAAACCTGGGCCCCTGGACCATAGCCCAAGAACTCTCCTCCAATATGGGGACTGCCAGAATGCGCATCTCTCCCTTCCCTATCACATTCCCTCCCGCATCTGCAAGCGAGTCACCAGGGAACCTGTCCTATCCCTGGTAGCAACTCCTCGGGCTGGAGGAGTGCCTTCTCCACTGAGTAGCTCTGGAGTGGGGCCAGAGTTCACGGGATGGGCGGCAGAGGCCGGCAGGTGGGGTGGACTTGCCCCTCGGACGGCCTCACCAGGGCGACAAGCCCATTCCCACACCCACTGTCCTGCCAGCGACGCTCCCCGCGGCGCGCTCCAAGGGGGGACACCACGCAGCTGCCCAACACTGCTCTCCAGGGGTTAAAAATGCAGCATCCTAAACAAGGGTTAAAAATGCAGTCGCGGGGCGGGCCGGTGCGGAGGGATGGTGTCCAAACCACCGCGGCTGCCAAAGCGGCATCCTCCCCCTTCCCTCCGCAGTCCCTGGGGGCCGGAGCGACTGGAGGGACCCGGGGGAGCAGAGGAGGCGCGCGCCGCACCTTCCCGGCACCAGTGCCCCCTCCCCACGCCCACACCCCCGCGCCCCCCGCAGCCGAGGCCGGGGGCTGCAGGCGCCGGCGGGTCCCGGGCGCGGCGGGCGAGCGGCGCTTACCTTTGTGACAGTCATGCAGAAACTCCGGGGCGGTGCGGGGACGCGGGCGCGGCGTGCGGGGGCGGTGGCCGGGGTCCACCACGGGCCCCAGCGTTGGCGGGAAGCGGTCGGGCGCGGCGCGGGCAGCTCTGGGCGCGCTCCCCGCGCCCCGCGGGCGGCTCGGCTGAGCCTGGGGCCGCGCTCCGGGCGGGCAGCGCGCAGGGACCGCTCGTCGGCGCTCGCCCGCCGCTCGCCGCTGATGTCAGCCCCGAATGTGCATTTATAATAGATGAGCCTCCTTCGCCGCAGGAAGGCGAGGCAGGAAGAAAGGGAGAGGGGGAGAGGGCCCAGGCTGGGGGGCGGGGGGAGGAGAGGGGCCGGGAACTCGCTACAAAGGAGGAGGCGGAGGGAGGAGGAGGAGGAGGAGGAGGAGGAAGCGCACGCCCGCCCGCTGCCCTGCCCTGCGCCTGGGGCTCGCTAGCCCGCCGCCGGGCACCGCCGCTCCCGGAGCCCCGGCCAGGCGCCCGGGCCCGCGGCCTTAACCCCTTCGCGCCCGCGGACGCCACGCGTCCGGGCGAGGCCGGGACCTGGCACCTGCTGGCTGCGGGCGCGCGCGGCCACCCCGGCCCTCGGGGGCCCCCGTTGGCCCGGGGACGCTGCTGAAGTCACTCTAGACGGCCGAGACGCCGCGTGGGCCGAGAAGCCTGCCGGGCTCGCCCCCTGGAGTTTGGCGACGTCCGTCCCGGGCCTAGAGTGCCGCGCGGCCGCGGAGAGGGGCGTGGCGGCCGCGGGCCCTGACTAGTCGGACCCGGCACAGGGTCGCGGGAGGGGGCTGTTGGAGCAGTCCTTTGAATCTAATTCCCGCAGCGATTGGCTGGCCCAGCGGGCACTGTAGCCAATTTCACAGCGAAGGAAAATGAGGAACAGAGTGGGAAGTGACTTAGACAAGGGCACACAGCCATCCTTGGCTCCAGGCGGTCGTCCTGGCGCCCGCTCTTTCCACGTCGCCACAAGCTCTCCACGGAACCCCTTGTTATAAAGCTGTCTTCTCGAGATTGGACGGTCCCTGCCCTAGGTGTGTCTACACTACGCTTGGGTGCCGCGCTGCTCTGGAGGAGCATAGGTGCGACCTGTGTGGTGCACTGATTCTGACCCGGGTCACACCATATCCTGGAGCTGCTGATGGACTTGAGGGACCACCACCTGAAGGTGACCCGGCAGGTCTCCTGCTTCCCGAGCACCTGAGCAGAACCGGTTTCGGCAGATACTGAACCGCTGAGACTCAGAAGAGGAGGGGTTAGTGGAGACGGAGGCGGAGAGATCTTCGCGCCCCACCGCCCGCCTGCAAGCCCGGAAGTGCTGGCTTCCTGCTCCCGCGCGACTATACAAAGCAATTAACTAGACCAAGTGGACCGGGTGGTGTCTGGGCACCTGCTCTGTGGAAGGTGCTGGAGGAAGAGGGGGGATCACGTACCTGCCTTCAAGGAGCTCATTGAGTAGACTACAATAGTAGAGTAATCAGCATCTGCAGAGCGCTCCGGGGATCAGACTATTTTTATTTTAATTTTTTTCCCTGTAACCCGGCATGCAAAAGAATGAGGAAGGAATTACCATCTTCATTTTGCTGATGAGTGAGCACACTCAGAGAGGGGAGGGCACCTGCCCAAGATCACACAGTTGGCAGAGCCAGGACTTGAATAGAAGTCTTTTTGAATGGAGCATAGCGTTCACAGCATCGTGCCTTGGCTCTGCAGATCCCAGGGGGCACTCACACCTGCTGCCTTATGTGAGCTTCACACTTGTCCTGGGAGGTAGAGGGACAGCCACTAGTCCCGCTTCCACATGTTCGAATGACTTACTAATTCTCTTGGGGAGCCCATGTTGCTGCATCTCTTCTGTGCACACCCTTCCTGTTCCCATGTTGGACCTCACGCCTTTGACCACATTGCTCCCGTGCCAGGAATGCCCTCCTCATTTTTATGCATTAATCCAAACACTCCCCACGTCTCCCGGCCCTACCTCTTTGGTGCACCCGACTCCAGGCCCCACGCTCCCCCTGTTGCATTTGGGTCTGCGTACCTGGTGGTGTTTTCACGAGCTTCCTGTCAGTACAGACGGTGAGCTGAAAAGTATCCTGAGCACAAGGGCATGGCTTCTCTTGTTGTGTACCCCTGGGCAAACAGTAGGTGCTCAGTGAAGATTTAATGCCATTAACAATGAATCAAGCAAAATAAACCTTTGAGGTGCAGCAGAAGAAATTTAAATGAGACCCACAAAAGCATTTCCCCTCAGTCCTGCATCAGAGGTGGGTCAAATTCCCTGTCTGAATTTGTTTTGGGTAAGATCAGCCTTCAAGACAGGAGGATGGACCTCAAGACCTTTCCGGGGCCCCTCCAGCCCTTCTTGGAAGACACTAAAGGACAACTCAAGAACACCAGTCACCTTTTCCCCATGGCTGTGACTCGTCCACTTTTATCTCTCATGGATATTTAAAATCCCAGATTGTTAGCCTCAGCTAGCCAGCATGCCTCTTGGCACCTTCCCCACCATCCGCGGGCATTGTGGGCTCTGGGAATGAGACAAATACTTAATATCAGCTTGAGCCAAATGTAATTAGGAACATCAATCTGCTGCCCACAACCCACGTGACACGCTCCGAAGGCAGACAGAAAACTTTCCTGATCGTTCACGTGCTGGTGGCTCACCCCTCTGGTCTCATCTCCCCATCAGGATGGAGGTCTGGGAGAGGGAGGACCGTCTCAAAGAACTCTGCATCCCCTTGGCAAACCAAGGGTTGGCCCATAGAAGATACTCAGAAATACATCTTCTGTGGTGCAGTTGTCTATACCACAATACCTCCTGCCCTGGGTTCCAGCAACGTGGCCCGTCTTACTTTGCATTGTCCCCAAAGCAGAGCCTGAGAAAAGGAGCTGGATGCAGGTGGTTTAATTGGGAGGTGATCCCAGGAAGTAGGAGTGGGACAGTGGGGCAGGGGTGGGTAGTGAGTCTGGGAAGGAGGAAACGCCAATATAAGATTGGTTTTATATTGTGTGTTCTCAAGGTCACTACTAGTGGCCAGGGGGGCCCGTTTCCCCAGGGACCTCTGGGATATGTCCTGCATTGCTTGCCAGGAGTCAGTCAGCAGGCATTTATGGACAGGTTGCTTTTCTTCACTGTTCGAGGGCTGCCACGGAGGGGCTCGCTTCCGATTGGAGAACGCTCGGGGTCAGAAAGTGGAAAGTCACCCTCCCCACAATTCCTTGAGGAGGAATGCTGTCAGCTCAAGTCTGAGCTCTCGGGGAGGCAAGCCGAGGGAAGCTGAGGGAAGGTGCTACAAATCGTGGAGGAAATGAGAATGTGCAGTAGTAGCTCTGGCCTGCCCTAGACACTTTCACACCTCGATGCTTAGATTATGCTCCCTCCTTGGTCTTGGATACCTCTACCCCTCTTTCTCTGCACAACAAACTCCTGTTCGTCCTTCAAAGCCCAGCTCAAATGGCACCTCCTCTATGTGGCCCTCTTGACACCACCTCCACGGGGACCTGATTCGAACTGTATGATTATGATCATAACTAAAATAGACTTGTCCTGTCTCTTCAGATGGGCTATGACCATGTGTTCTCCCTTTTTAATCACAAGGAGTAGCTGACACATAGATGCTCGGTAACTGTTCAACCAAGCCAATGAGACAGCACCTTTAGCTTCTGCCTTAGTGACCCCTTGGCTCCGGTCCCAGCACCCCTGAGTGAGGCGTTGGGTCTCTCAACTTCAGGCGCTGCCCTGCCTAGTGTGTTCATTCGCCCAGGCACCATGTTGGGTGCCACTGTACCGAGTGAAAAGGGCTTGGTCCTTGCCCACTGACGTGGGGACACATCCGAGACCATGGGTGCATGCTGCCCTATAGCAGGGAGCAGAGGGAAGTTGCCAAAGCCATGGAGCCCCAGAGGAGGGAGGTGCTGCCTCATTCATGCCATCCCAGGACACACACACACTCCACCTGCCCCCAGGTACTCAGTCGGCAGGACCTGCAGACCTCACTGCCCTTCAAATCCTTCCCCTCATCACTGTCTCCACTATTACTGCCTTCATGCAGCATTTTCTTTTGCTTGGGTCACCCCAACTGGTCCTCCTGCCTCCTATCTTGTGCCCACCCATCCGTTCTCTACCCAGCAGCTCATGCACTCCTGAGCAAACACACACAGATCTGCCTCCTTGAAACTTATCAGGGGCTCCCTGATGCCTTCAGGATGAAGCCCAAACAGGGTCCTCCAAGACCCGCCCCAGGCCCTTTAATCTTCAAGCTTCCTGTCTCATCATACTCTTACCCATGTCTTCCCCTCAGTACCTGTCAGAGTCTTCCTCGTTATTTCCTCAGATGTCGCCTCCTCCAGGAAGCCTGCCTGGACTATGACCAGGATGGCTTAGCCGCCCAGCCTCTGTGCTACTTTCCATACTCCCTGAGTTTCCTTCTGTGCTTGTGCATTGTTTTGTCATTTCCTGTTTGTGTGTTTGGCATCCTGCTGTAGGACCAGCTGCTTGAAGACAAGAACTGCTTCTTTTCTTGGAGATTCCAGCACACAGCAATTCTAGCATATTGCTTTGTCCCCTTCCCTCTATACAGTTCTCATGGTTTCCATTTCTCCCTTCCTGTCTCTTTTTCACTGTTTTCTCGATCTCTCTCCCTGACTACATGCCTCAGTTCTCGGGTTCGCTCCACCCCCGTCTCTGTTGCCCCCACCTCCCCATGCTTCGAATCTGCATGTCTGTGTCCTACCCACACCTCTTCACCGACAGACACCCCTCATTCCTGCTTTTCCTCCTCTGCCCTCCACCTCCCCACTCCTTCTACTACTCTTCATGCCTGGGTAGGGCTGTCCTCTCTCCTCCCCTCTGCTGGACGTTCAAGCTCTCTCTCTTCCTCCCGTCTCTCCTCCAGCTCCAACCTCCTGTCCCCTCATCTCTCTGTGTCTGATTTTGTCTCTGTGTTCCTGTCCCTGCCTCGCTCCCTCTCTCACCCACTTTCTCTCTTCTGGTCCCTCACCCCCTTTCTCCATGGCCCCTATACAACACATATAATGCTGACCTTGGGAGGGGGGCCCTGTTCTGGCGTGTCATCCTTCACCCCATATCAGAGGGGTGATGATCGCTGAGCCTCCTGAAAGGAGGCCCATCTGCGTCCTTGGCTGGGGATGCCCTCACCTGGGCCACAGGCTCTTTATCTGTGACCTGCTCTGTGACTCCGTGAGCTTGTGTGAGTGGGTATGGGGGTGTGTGCCCGGATGCGTGCTGTGTATTTGTGGGATGTACGGAAATGGATGACGGAGGAGGAGCCGCAGAACGGGGCTCAGTGCGGGAAGCCAGGGGTCAGCTCCCCCCACCCTTGTCTGCTCTCCCAGCTCTCTCTGGGGCCATGGAGGCAAACAGGCACTTTCAGCCACAGGCAGGGAAGACAGCAGACACCGCAGGTGCCGCCCAGAGACAATGTTGCTCCGGAAACCCTGGCCACTCTTGCAGAGTGCAAGGCTTCAGTGTGGTTCTCTGGAGCCATAATGCGTGGGCTCAAATCCTGGCTCTCCCACACTGTCTGTGTGATCAGGTCAGGTGTTTGACCTCCTTGTACCATCTCCTCTTCTCCAACATGGAGGTAATACCACTGGCCCCAAGAGCTGTTATGGGATCTCAGTGAGAGAGCACTGGGGGCCATGTATCTGCCCGAGGAGCTTGTGGATTCGGACTCGTCCCGGGCACAGGGAAGGGAATCAGGAGATCTGAGTTCCAGCTCAAGCTTTACCATCCGTGAGCACGTGGTTTCCCAAAGCCCCATAGCCTAGCCAGGCCATGGTTTACCCCTTTATAGAATGAGATGACAGAAACTCATCGACTCTAGTACTATCAATTGACACACACGTATTAAAGATGAAAAATACTTGAAAGAAAAAAAAAAGGGGGGAAGAAAAGCCTGCCATGTCGCCAACCACCAAGAGAGGGCGCGAGCGGTCCCTGGTATCCGGCCACCAGGGACCCGGGAACCAGATTCCCAGCCCGGAGCTCCTTTTGCATCTCAACTTCGGTAACACCTCCATCAGTGGTTCTCAAAGCGTGGGTCCCAGAGTAGCGGCAGCTCCACCTGGGGGCTTGCTCTAAACGCAACTTCTTGGGCCCCACACCTGGCTTACCGGGCAGGAACTCTGGAGGTGGGTCCAGCGGTGTGTTTAAATAAGTCCTCCTGGGATTCTGAGAAGCATTGACGGTCAGCATAGAGTACGGTGGGCGCCCTGTGGGCCAGCACCTGAGAAGGTGCTTTACAAACCACACAGAAGCAGGAGGAAGGGGCTGCTTCCCCTCCCGTCTCCCAGGCAGCGGCGCTGAACTTTAACTTGGGCTTCAAAATCGTAGCTGGAGGCTTTTAAGATCTTTCCACCAAAGACGAGGAGATTACAGGCATGGCAGGGTGAGGGGAGTGGGTCTGCAGCAGCTCTAGAGAGGGGCCATGGCTCTGGATGTTTGTGCTTTAGCCTGAAATCGTGTGCAGACTCAGTGGCTCCAGGTACTGCCCAGGGTTAGCCCCCGTTGGCTCTCCGAGGCTGTCCTGAAGACCCCCCAGGAGTGGGAACGGCCGATATCCTGGTTGCCTCGTGGGAGAGAAGCTCCTCAAGTTGGAGGGCAGGGGTGGGGCCTCAGAGACTTGGAGAAAGGTCTCAGAGATACACTTACAACCCCACTGCCCTTCCAAGGTGCCCTTCAGCCCCACCAGTCCCTGACAGTGCCCTGCTTCCCAGGTCCTGCTCCCTCTGCCCCTCGGTGCCTGGATCCCCCACTGCCACCCCAGGAATGCTCTGTGCCATTCTCCTCCAGGCTGGCTCAGCAGAAAGTCCTTTCATTCTGAGGATGAGTGTCACCCAGACACTCTGTCGTCTCCCTCCACGGAGCCCCTAGCACTCACCAGCTTGTCCCCGTTAAATACCCTGGGGTGTCACTGTTGCATTTCAGTCCCCGCGTCATTTGTAAAGAGTAGGCTTTGGACCAGATGGCTACCAAGGTCTCTGCCTGCTGCAAGATGCTCTGACTCTGGTTCACAAGAATAAGGCTTATCTCCCCCTCGTTAGGGCTGCTCTTAGTGTGTGCAGGGCCTTGTGGAAATTTGTGTGTGCGTATGTGGGGGGGGGCATGTCTGTATAAACAATTTGATTTTAAAATGTACTACAAAATTCTTGGCCTATATGGGGTGTTGTAATTTATCAATGAAGATTTAATAATATGTAGAGAAAGGAAACTAACTTGTTTATTGTCCAATCAAGGCATATGAAGATTCTTTGTAGAATCCAAGACCCATATTTTCTTTTTTTTCTTAAGGTTTTATTTATTTATTTATTTGAGAGAGAGAGAGAGAGAGAGAGAGAGAGCAGAGTAGGGGGAAGCAGAGGGAGAGGGGCAAGCAGACTTCCCACTGAGCGGGGAGCCCAATGTGGAACTCGATCCCAGGACCCTGAGATCATGACCTGAGCCGAAGGCAGATGCTTAACTGACTGAGCCACCCAGGCGCCCCAAGAATGACCTTTTCTTTTTTTTTTTAAGTTTTTTATTGTTATGTTAATCACCATACATTACATCATCAGTTTTTGATGTAGTGTTCCATGATTCACTGTTTGTGCATAACACCCAGTGCTCCACGCAGAGCGTGCCTCTTTAATACCCATCACCAGGCTAACCCGTCCCCCCACCCCCCTCCCCTCTAGAACCCTCAGTGTGTTTCTCAGAGTCCATCGTCTCTCCTGGTTCGCCTCCCTCTCCGACTTACTCCCCTTCAAGAATGACCTTTTCTTATTCAACCATCTCTTTGTATTCTTTATTGTCAAATATGTCATTCCTGGTTAATTCTTTATCTTCCGCCAGGAGAAAAAGCCGAGAACACTGCTATTATTCACAATGTCGTGCTTCTTAGGAACCTGTTTGTACCCAAACAGTACGGATCCCCTTGCCTCTGCTGGTCCCTGCTACTGTTTCTTTAATGCCAGGTGCATCATTACTGATGACGCTGCACCATCCACTGTGGCATCCAGAAATACTGGCTTCCAGTGACTTTCTCAAAGGGTCATCATCTGCTTCATAAATGATGCCCCTCAATGCAAGTCTTATCCAATGTATGGGAAAATGAGAAGGATCGTTTGTTTCCTGGGCATAAATTGACCGTTCAGAATGCCAAGGTGTAAATGACCAATGTGTTAGGCCATGGAAGACTGCAGTGGGGTGGAGAAATGTCCTGGGTGCTCAGGGACGTTGGCACCAGGGCAAGGGATGCTTGCTGCTACCCCTGCCACTCTGTGCTGTCGGCCAGGGGTGGTGACACTGTGGTCAAATCATAGATGAGCAAGAGCCCCAGCACTGACTCGCACACAGGGCCAGCTGTGGACTAATGGTAGCCCAGAGGCCTGAACTTGTCCTGAGTCTGACATGGGAATCACTCCTAATGAGCGTGTCAGCCCAATTTTGGTGACCTCCATCCTACAAAACCCATAGCACCAGCCACACTGTGGGGAACTATCTACCCACCAGACCACCCTCTTGGAAGTGAGGCCTGGTTACAGGGCTCTAGGACAGCTCCCCAAGTGTGAGTCCTGGAGCTCCTGGTGGGGGGGGGTCATCGAGCCAACCCCACACCTGGGGTAAAGGTCAGAGGGTATCGGAACGAGAGAAATGGGAGACCAAGCCCCAGGCAGGGTGGAGGCCAGGCTCCCAGGCATCTTGCTTTGGTGGCAGTGTAGGCCCTGACTGGTCCCCCACCCCCAGGCTAGGTTTCTCTCCATGACAGCGGCACCTGCTTTCAAAGAGACCAGTGAAGGTGACTTGGTTGGAGCGGAGGATGCTGGGCTGTGGGTCAGGGGACCTGAGCCTCGTCGCTTACAGCAGCCCCATGTGTTTGTGGAAGAGGCCACCCCCACAGTCAGCTTTGGGAGCACTACTTATGGGGGGGGGCTGGTGTCTGCACTCTGGGCTCCGGGTGGCCCAGGCTCCTGTCCCCCAAATCTTACCTCCCACTCAGGGCTGTCTCCATTCCCTGACTGCTTCTCCCATCAGGAAAGTGGTATTAATTTGATAATTCATTTGGCAAATATTTAGCAGGAACCTACTCTGTACCATCTGCTATGCCAGGGGCTGAGGATGGGGGTGGGACCAAAACCAAGGTCCTTGCCCCCCATAAGCTTTTGTTCTGTGGGTGTGGGGCGAGGGATACAGACAATGACCAGGTAAATACATGGCAGGGGGTGAAGGGTGTGATACAAGGTAAGGAGTAAGGAGTGGGGTTGGGGGGAGACCTAAGGAATTCAGCAACACTTGGGCAGAGCCCCGAGGAGAGCGGGACGGGAGTCCAGCGGGTGTCTGGGCCTGAGAAGCCCAGGTTGAGGGCGGGTGAGGCTGCATACCC